CGGCGGCAGGCCCCGCGGCGGGCCCGGGCAAGGGCCGCTTCCTCGTGCGCATCTGTTTCCAGGGCGACGAGGGCGCCTGCCCGACGCGGGACTTCGTGGTGGGCGCGCTCATCCTGCGCTCCATCGGCATGGACCCCAGCGACATCTACGCGGTCATCCAGATCCCGGGCAGCCGCGAGTTCGACGTGAGCTTCCGCTCGGCGGAGAAGCTGGCCCTGTTCCTGCGCGTGTACGAGGAGAAGCGCGAGCAGGAGGACTGCTGGGAGAACTTTGTGGTGCTGGGGCGGAGCAAGTCCAGCTTGAAGACGCTCTTCATCCTCTTCCGGAACGAGACGGTGGACGTGGAGGACATCGTGACCTGGCTCAAGCGCCACTGCGATGTGCTGGCCGTGCCCGTGAAAGTGACCGACAGGTTTGGGATCTGGACCGGGGAGTACAAGTGCGAGATCGAGCTGCGCCAGGGGGAGGGCGGGGTCCGGCACCTGCCGGGGGCCTTCTTCCTGGGGGCCGAGAGGGGCTACAGCTGGTACAAGGGGCAGCCCAAGACGTGCTTTAAATGTGGCTCCCGGACCCACATGAGCGGCAGCTGCACGCAGGACAGGTGCTTCAGGTGCGGGGAGGAGGGGCACCTGAGCCCTTACTGCCGGAAGGGCATCGTGTGCAACCTCTGTGGCAAGCGAGGACACGCCTTTGCCCAGTGTCCCAAAGCGGTTCACAATTCCGTGGCAGCTCAGCTAACCGGCGTGGCCGGGCACTGAACACCCGCCTGCCCCCCAGGGTGAACACAGAGCCAGCTTACCCCTCTGAAGTGCCAAAACTTTTTTTTAAACCATTTTTTATCCTTTTTGAAGGAGATCTTTTTAAACCTACAAGAGACATCTCTCTCTGCCTTCTTAAATCGAGTTTACTCCATTTCAGCCTTTTCTGAATTGGTGACTCTCATCAGTAACGACTACCGAGAAGTGTAGTCTGCAGATATGTCGTCCCTTCTTTTCTAATATGTTGTTTTTGTATTTGGGGATTTTTTTATTTTTTGGTACATTTTACTCCCCACGCCTTGTCTTCTCCCCGGATTTTCACCCATTGGGCTGCCTTGCTGGTCTTTATGCCCCAGCACCAGGTACGGAGCCCAGCACGTGGTAGGCACTCCATCAGTGTTTGTTGAATTGAGAACATTGTTAACTGTGGCTTCTGTCAGGGTGTCTATCTTTTGCAGCTCTTCCCCTCCCCTTTTAATTTGCTGCTTCTAATCTATGTGGTCTGAGAATTTGTGAAACCAGTGTTGTTAGAAGTGTATGTAATCTAAGTCAATAAGCTCTGAATGGTGGCCAGGGGCCTCTCTTATGGCGGTAAAATGCATGGACTTTGTGACAGCTCTTTCAGTGGCTCAGAAGCCATTTTTCACAGAATCATTTAATCTAGAATTTTCCTGCTGGAAAGGACCTGAAAGTTGGTTTAGACCAATCCCCTGGTTTTCCAGCAGATGAAACAGGCCCAGAGAGGTTAAATGACTGGGTCAACATCACGGAGCTGTCTGGTGCTAGCCCTAGCCTAGAGTTCCCTGACCCCAAGCCCGGTGCTCGTTCTACTACCTCTCACACTTCACAACATTTTCCTCAACACTTGAGGGCCCAGAAAGTCTGATCTCTCCAGAATAATGAGCCTAGAGGAATGCTAAGAAATCATCTGGAGGAGGAAGCAGGAGGAGATTTAGCAGGGCCTTCTGAAGACTTGGGAGATAGAGAAGGGACGAAGGAACATAAGCCAGGGTGCACTTGTTGCTCCTGGGGGTACCATATCTGGATTAAAGCGTGCCAGGTCCTTTGGGGCTTTACCTTTCCCCATTCATTGTCACCAGTGAGAAATGGGGGTGCTCCTGAGTGAGGAGACCTACCAAAGGTTTACATTTGCACCTTAGCCTCAATAGCTAGAAACCCCAGAGAAGCAGCTAACTGGGGCTCATCTGCGACCTCCTGACTCTCGGGAGAAGGCGATTTTAACCCGGAATTATGAGGGAGCTGTTAACTCTCAAATGTACTTGCGAAATAGGCCAAGTGAGATAGCATTGGGTCAACTAAGTGTTATCAAGTTAAAGTAGAAAAGACAGTACACTGCTTTTCTTTTAGTCTTTGTCTTTCCTTTGCTTTATGTTTTGCTATTTCCTTGTGGCTTAGAATGTAAAATCCATTGTTAAAAGTTTTGTTCCGAATAAATATTTATCTTTTGTATTGCTAACACTGCTGTGCTATTTCTTTTCAAAGTGTTAGATGCATGGGTATACAGACTCTAGTTCAATCCATACTTCCTACCCACTATTTGTTTACCCTGCAAATACATTTCCAGCCCCTGCAGGCAATACTTAGCACCTACAGTGTTGCGCCAGGCCCTTTGGACTTGTTACCTAACCCTACGTATCACAATCACTTAGCACTCTGTTAAAACTCGTTTGCAGTCCTAACTCAGCTCCAAGGAATCGGAATCGCTGGAGTGAGTGAAAATGTTTTCAGTAAACATCCCCAAGCAATTCTGATGGGCAGCTGGCTTGAGACCACAGTTCTGAATGGTACTAAGATGAGAGAGAGAGACCCTGCCCTCGGGAGATTACAAACCAGTGGGAAAAACAGGGGAAGATGTCAGCTTCATCATCTTACAGTTATTGTAAGTGGCACAAATTGGATGCAAGGTATTCATGGGCTGTAAAAAAAAAAAAAAAAAAATGCCATCTCTTCCAGTTATAAGAGAGGAAGAGAGAGTCCAGGAAACTTCCCAGAGAGCAGAGAGCTGACTCACTCCTCCAAGCCAGCCCTGGAGACCCCAGACACAACCCTCTGAAGGGTTTTCTGGCTCTGAGATGTTAAGATGATCTGATCCTAAGAATTAAAGATCCCAATACGTTGATTCTTTGACTCTGATTTGAGGAGATTTCCGGAGCTGATCTGGTATAGCTGAGGCATGGTTGGCTCTTGGGAACCCTGCCTTTCAGAGCTGGCTCAGCCCCTCTCTTTCCTGTCTCCCGAAGCAAACAGACCCTTCCCTACTTGATCCCTCATCTCTTTCCCTTCTGTGCCACGGGTTTCCCTCCCTCACAGGGCTGGAGGCCTGAGGCAGAGAGAAAAAGCCTGCATTCATTACACTCCCCGCCCCCTTCAAGCAGGCACTAAGCCAAGGAGCCTCCTTGGAAGGAATCTTCCCTCTCTCTGCCCCTCCCCCCAACTCTCCTGGAGGGAGCAGAGGAAGAAACTGTTTCCCTGCCCATCCCCCACAGGATCCGCTTTAGGGCCTCCTGCCTGGCGGGCTGGAGACTGAGCCACCGGCTGGAGCGGAACAAACCTCCCCCAGCTTCCTCTCCTGATCTAGCAGCCCCCAAATTACAATTCCTCACTGTTCATGGGCTCCTGGGGAATGTACCAAGATCCCCAGACCGAGGCTGGCTGACTAGCTGACGTTCATTCCTGCAGCTTTCCACAAATGCTGAGGGCCATTAGAGCCAGGCCCTGTGCAAGGTGCTCTGCATACACCCATGAACAAGACAGTGCACTTGCGGAGGAAGATAAGTAACAAGCAAGCAATTTTTAAAATAATATTAAGTATTTTTAAATATTCTTAAAAAAATACAAAGTGTAGAATTGTCTGAAGTACAGGTCTCCTAGAAGACATGATCGTGTTTCTACTGAAACCTGCAAGATGAATAAGAACCAGATGAAGAGGGAAGAGATATCCAAGAAGCAGAAACAGCCTGTGCAAAGACCTGAAGGCCAGAGCACGCAGCGTGTGCTGGAGAGTCACAGGAAGATGTGGTTGGGAAAAGGCCAAGAGGAGGTGACCAAATTTAAGAGGCTTGATTTTGTCCTAATACTTTCCAGTCTGGCCACCTCCATTCCATTCATCCATTCCATTCATTCACTTGACACATGTAAAGCACCAATTCTTTCTAGACAACAGAATACAACAAAATAGTCAAGTCCCCTGAATTTGTCTAGAGTCACACAAATACGTAATTACAAATTGTGCTAATGTGTTGAAAGAAACAGAGTGATATCGTGTTTAACAAGGAGAATGATCTGGTCATAGGGGTAAGGGATAACTTCCTAGAGAATTGTTTGAACTGAGATTGAAAGGATCTATGAGGAGTTAATTGAGAGATGGGGGTGGGGAAGGTACCAGGTGGCAAGGGGAGTAGCCTAGGCAAAAGGGATAAATAACATAACGCTATAGGGGGAGGAGGCACGGCCAATTCTAGAAACAAAGTGAAGTCCAGTGTATCCATCCAGGTTTGGAAACAGAAACCACTCTGGGAATTGAAGCAAGTGATGGCCCCCAGGCTGGGTATTAGGAATGACTCCTAGAACACCATAGCACTGACCTACCAAGAGAGCCACTACCTCTTTCATAGTCAGAAAGGAACCAGGAGGCCATCCCTGGAAAGGCTGAGTTTAAGGACACACTGCTGAAGCTGCCACCCAAGGACGGATGCTGGGATCAGAGAGCCACTGCCAGTGCTACTGCCAAGACAGCGAAATGTCTAGTCCTTGAAGCCAGAGACTGTACACTAGTGTCTCCATGACCTTAGAAGCAAGAACAACCAAAACTTTGACTTCTGCCTCACTTCCACCTTCCAAATCTCATGCAAGTGCATCTAATTGCTGGAGCCCTAGCTGCAAGGGAGTCAGGAAATGTTTTAGCTTTCCAGCATGAGTAGCACAGGAAGGCACATAAACAGAGTGGGAATGGATAGTGTCTGCCAACCTGGAACCAACCATATCTAGCACAGCCGTGGTTACAATACAGAGGTGGAGGGAAATGATGGTGCAAAATTAGGCTGCAGATCTTGGGGGGATGGGAGGGGCATCTAGTCAGCCAGGTTTAGAATTTGAGTCTAAGAATGATAAAGAGCCATTGAAAGATTTTTAAGCAAGGAAGTGACATGATCAGGGTTGTATTTTTTTTTTTTTTTTTTTTTTTTTGGTGAGAAAGATTGGCCCTGAGCTAGCATCCGTTGCCAGTCTTCCTCTTTTTGCTTGAGGAAGATTCACCCTGAGCTAACATTTGTGCCAATCTTCCTCTATTTCGTATGTGGGTCGCCACCACAGCAGGGCCACCAACAAGTGGTGTAGGCCCGTGCCCAGGAACCGAACCCAGGCCGCTGAAGCAGCGCACACCAAACTTAACCACTAGGCCACAGGGCCAGCCCTAGGGTTGTATTTTTAAAAGGCCATTCAGGATACTTTGTAGAGAATGGGTTGGAGGGGAGCCCAAGCTGATAGAAGTCCAGTTCACTCAGATGAGAGGTGAGGGTACCTTGGAGCTGGATGGTGGAGGCAGGGAAAAGCAGGCAGGGTAAAGAGATATTTAGGGATTTAAGTCAACAAGACTTAGACATGGGCTGGGGGAAGGGTAAGTACCAAGGATGACTCCCAAGTTTCCAGCTTCTGCAATTGGATTGATGGTGGAGCCTTCCCTGAGATGCAGAACAGAGGAGAAAATCCAAGTTTGAGATGAAGGTCTTGAGATTGATTTTGGATGTGTTGAGTTTGAAGTCTCCAGAGAGGATGTCTAAGAGAAGGTGTGGAATAGATGGTTCCACAGGTCTTAAGTTCTAAGGAGAGTTCTGGGCTTGAGAAATAAACATAAGAGTCCTATAGCAACGGCTTCCAAACTCTTTAACCACATCCCACAGTAAGATATACATTTTACATTGCAGCCATCAGACATATGCGTGTGTGTTCTTATATATAAAGAAACAAATTTATATATAAAAAGAAACAATATTAACCTTGTGGGTTTGCCCTGACATTTTCTATTGCTTCATTCTTTTATAAGAATTCTTACATGACCCATTAAATTGATTTCACAATCTCCTGATGGGTCATGACAGAAAGCATAGAGGAGAAAGATTATAGCAATCCAGATCATACCTTAAGCAACTCTGACATGTAAGAGTTTTCCCTGATGGAAAAGGACATTTGTGACAAACTGATAAAGGACAGCCAGAAAGGGAGAAGGAAAACAAGAGTGCAGAGACATAAAAGTCAAGGGAAGATAGTTACAAGCGGCAGGGATTAACAACTGTATTGAGTGCTGCAAGAGGCCAAGTAAAATTGGCTTTGGGAAACGTCATGGAAAGTCAGGATTGGAGAATGCCCATTGGACTGAGTAACGTGGAGGTCACTGGTGAGGGCCTTTTAGAGGTAGAGTGATGGGAGCAGGAGGGCAATGAAGGAGCAAATAATCTTCCTGAAATGCCAATCTAGCACTCTGACCCTTTTACTCCCTCTAGGGCTCCCTATTGCTCTAGGGAGTCAACCTAGCATCCAACTCCTTTCAAAAGAGGATTCTGGGCTCCTTTGAGACCTCCTTCTCAGCCAGAGTGCCCATTCTGTCTCTTCATGTCAACTCCAGGTATGGCCGACACAGAGCAACCAGAAGGAGTTCAGTATGGTGGAGTGTGGAGTGGTACAAGAGGAAGCTAAGGGTGAGCAGGGGTCAGATCATACCAAGTTGAAGGAAGAGTTCCATGGGAGTGTACCAGGCATGTGCAAAGCCAATGGATCCATACAGCACCACTTGCTGGCTTGTCAATGTAACTAAGAATATTTAGGGGAGGACGTGTTTCATGAAAATAAACACAGATGTATTATGGAGGAGATTGCAAACTTTGCAGAGTTTAAAAATAAAACATGGACTAACATCTTTGGAAAGCTG